TCTGAAAAACGAGGCTAACTTGGTAACCCGTGGCCCGATTTTAACGAAACTTGTTTTATTCTGTTTCTATGCTCACTTCATTACAAACATGGTAATATTGTGTGCCGTTTTTGCTGTATTTAATTACAGACAAGCAAACACACAAACAATCTCAGAGTTTTAGTAGTATATAGATATACTGTATATAAAAGTGGCGTTTGGGATAATATTTTATCTGACGAGCTCTGGTATTGAAGGAAAACACTATGACGATGATTTTGAATCCACAAAGAACAGATTAAAGGAATACGAGTGGCCCTGAAGAAGGAAGTGAAATCAATGTTCAGATGCAGTGTTGTACATTACTGTTCATCGATTTCGTGAATAACCATATAGCATTTGGAAGTTCATAAACAACCGTAAAGGATGGAGGAAGAGTACATACGCCCAATAATTGTATCTACGACAGACTCGTAGATTGCTCGTTCAGATATTTCGACAAAAATGTGAACCAAAATGATTTACTAAGCTCCATAAATCGCTTTATCATACATGATGATAATAGCCCTAAATATCTCTCTCACCATTAAATATGTATCATAAGAAACAGGACACATATGCTAAATCATAAAAATATCACTTAGATTAATATATCAAAAGGGTATTTATGTAAAATACGTGTCTAATAATTTAATAAAGTGTGTGAGTGTAGGACTGTTACATAACCAAATTAAGAGAAGTGCTACAAGTTTTATATATATAGACACGGCCTTGAACAGGAAAGAAGGGTCAGTGTAATTGCCGGCAAAGTTTAGAACCCTGATCTCGTAGTGTAAATCATCTGGCGTTTAACAATAAATAAATATACCGTCAAAGAGGTCTTCATAGCACCTGACCCTCTCAGATCACACAAACACAACCAAATCCCAATCAAATCGATTATTACAATGTTTTCCAAACCGCCCTCCCCCTCTTCGTTGTCGTTTTTTTGGCGGGAGAGTCCAAAAATAACGTCGGAAGAAACAGAAGAGTTCGAGACGACGATAACCTAACAAAACTAACACTTTGCTCTCGTATTTAATCGTTCCTTAGAAGCATTTTTCATTAGAAATATTTTAAAACGTAAAAGAAATGTTGATTTTGCTGTTATCATTTGCGAAAATTATTTTAATGTGAGGGAGCTATTCAAAGGTTGGAAAACACTGAATTAGTACATTAGTATTAGTAAAGAAACGTGATAAAAATATCTACAACTAACGTGATTTTTATAACAAATCTTAGGCCTATTAATATCTCGAATATACAGTTTCGCTCTCACTTGCTTTGATTATTTTAGAGCAAAGACACATTGGGCTATTTGCGGTGTCCCCGCGGCGAATCAAACCCCGGATTTTAGTATTGTAAATCCGAAGACTTACCACTGTCCCACCAGGGGACAGTAGTAAAGCAATCTGTTTTCAATGAAGTTCGTGATTTATTTTCTACACTAACACTGTAGCTTTATAAACATATTTCAAACAACCTACTAGAACTTAAAAAAAAATGTATAGCTGTTTCATGGTTTGATAAAGAAACAACTTATCGCTACAAAATAAAAAACAAAACAAAGAGAATCATCACGAACTGTCTAGATCGTTTGTTCGTCATTAAGGGTTAGTCCCTTTGAGGTTATCATTTTGGAAATTTAGTATCCATTTAATAATTTACCTTTTTCTATAATCTATTAGGCGTTGTTCCTTTCGGAGTTATACCTTTTGGTTTTAATCCCGTTTAATGACACGTGTGTTTATGGTGTCCTTTCAATGCATTTTTCTCCTAAAACTATCCTACTAGGATTAATATTTTCGTCTGTGTCATTTTTTTTATGTTTTTTGTTTTAAAATGACCCCTTATAAATTTATTTTATTTTATTTTTATACAATATTGGTTTGTAATAAAGGGGGCATTTATCCATTTACGTTAGAGAAAAATATCTGCACGATTTAGACTCTTGCAAGTATTTTTCTCTGTCACTACAGTATATTATTGTTGTTATTACTTGTATGTGTTTTATTCCGGCTTTATTTTTATTATTTTAGCTGATTTTTATATAAAATATTTTTCTCTTGATAAAATTTCTATAGCTAAGTAGATAAATAAATATTGAAAAGTAATATGTGAAATCATTTTCCAGCCATTATATGTGAAATCATTGTTGTCTGTCACAATTTGTATGGTGACAGTAATTATATCATAATTTGCTTTTAAATCAGATGGAGCTTATTTTAATTTATTTAAAAGTACTGTTATCATGATAGATATTTTAATAGAAAATTTCTGATGCGATATTAAATTGCTATTTCAAGGTTTGATCTTAACCATGATAATTTATTACAAGCAGGTAATAATAAGTTATTAGAAATTATGAATTAAGAACATCACCAGATGTCGTCCCGCAGGTTGGCGGCAAGTAAGTACATGTCGCACCAAGTCTGTATAACGTGTTAGTGTAGAATCATCGCTTGTTATTAAGTTATAATTAAACGTTATTGTCTGTGTAAAAAACAAGTCAAACATCTCTTTATGTATGTTTTTATATAAAATATAATAAGTTAATATGAGGTGATAATAGGCCCATGTAACTTGTAAGGGTATGAATACGATTAACGTAGGTACATTTATTACAACAAATGAACGACACATTGATTGTTGTTATTATTATCTTTGAAGCTGGAGATAAGGTTGACACCAGGTGTAAAGTCCGAAGCACGAAAACCGTTAGATTATACTATCAGTACTAGAAAAAGCTGAAAAGTGATCCATGGTCATTTCCGTGAAAAAAGAAAATTTCTCCTCTTTAATGTAATATAACAAGTTTTAGACTTAGTTATCCATTGCATTGAAACGATTTTGTAAAGTTAAAGTTTAAACTAAAAATTTCGTATATTTCCTTAAGTTAAATACTGATTACCATACTTCACAGATAATGATACTAAAACATAAGTTGAAGCTTCAAACTAATATAGATCAATGTTTCCTAGTTTGTATTTGTAGAGAGAGTTAGGATGTGGGTATTAAATATATATATTTGTTTTCTCATTATAAGGTAGAATTTTTTAATAAAATGTTTATATTTTTGCATGTTTGTGACTTAGAAAAACCCAACAGTCTGAGGACATTATATTTTATATAACAATATATAAAAAATGTAATTTTTGCATAATTAAAATGAAGTTGCTGACTATGATGAATGATTACACCACTTATGTATAACACCAATACATATATTTTTTAATACTCAGTAAAAAACACAATGGGTGAACCTGAGCCATCAGAGGAAGATGTTATGAAAGTTCTAATAGCCACAGACTGTCATCTAGGTTATGCTGAGCGAGATGCAGTTAGAGGTATTACATTATTTTTAGAAACATGTACATATATCTTGGAGATTATTTTTCTATTGCACTTTGCTTTAAGGACATATATTAGTAACTACAGTTTTAATACTTAATTAATATCTTTTCTTAAGAGGTATATATATATAAAATTGATTGTTACTACTAAATAAATGTTTTTGAAAAATATAAAAATGCCCCGTTACTAATGGATATTTAGTTTGTAGATCAGTGGAAAGGTAAATTTAATATGTCATGCTTGCAACTTCTGTGAATTTCTGGTTTTATACAACAAAAATTTTCTTGCTAACTTGATATTCCTCTTCATAATTTCAAAAAACTAATGGAATTTTCTTAAAATGTATATAGGTGTTTATTTATGATTACATTGAAAGTTTTGTCATTTGAGTTCTACGTGAAACGTGCTGCATAAATATTCAACCACAAAGTTCAGAAAATTTAAAATAGAGAATTAGGGAAAAAAACAAACTTATATTGTACTGTGTAAGCTCAAATTTCTTTCTTTCAACTTTCATTAATAACTTTTGAAACGATGGACTTTTGTAAGTTAATTGGGCTTGTAATGTTAAATGTACACATAGAATTTGGGACTTAATAGATGCCAAAATGGAAGTTAGTAAATGGTTATTTCATATTCATTCATTTAGTTAATAGTATTGCTCAAATTAACATGACTTGCAGAATTAGAAAAATACCGTTTACCTTGTTACAAAGAAAAAAGAATAACACGCATAAAAGTTTTTACATTACGTATTAATGGAGTGATCTTTTCTGTGTTATTGTACCTACAAAACTTAGCTGGTTTGATAGTCAGATAATTTCTGACAAGAATCTTACTAGTTGTCCGGAAAAAAAATGAGGCAAATTACTCTAAAATAAACTTACATCATTATCATGTGGAGCATTTCTTTGAGATGATTTTGTAAGATGCTGGATTTGATAGGATTGATACTTTTCCATCTGTACTTGATAAAGAAAAACTAGTTACTAGTAAATATTGCCATAAATAAACTACATTAATTCAAAATGATTTATTTTGAAACTGTTTAAGGAGCCTAACAGACCATTACATTGTATTTGAGATATGAGTATTACATGAAATTTTCTGTGAAATTAAATATCAAATACATTGGATTGTTGGCAGCTTAATTATGAATGAAACTACGTAAAAAAGACAATACGAGTACTGTGTATGAGCTTATAACTTTCATAATGCCAGTGCTGGTCTTGGGGTTTTTCCTTCCTATACACCATTCCAGATTTGATATTGGAAAATAAGTAATAATAGATAAAGATATTTAAAAAACTGTTACTGGTATAATTATTAATATTTATCTCTTACTGGTATAATTATTAATATTTATCTCTTGTCAAAAGAATTTTTCTGATAATCAGATTTAAGCTACTCTAATCACTTATGTGGTTACATTTACTTGTGATTGTTTTACTAATGTATTTGACACAAAGTTATGTAACACAATTACTTGATTCTGTACTTCACTGTCTTACTATCATAGTACCGTGTGATTGTAAGATAGTAGGAGGATAAGTATAATGTGATTGTGCTCAGAGAAGCTTGTTGTGGCTACTATATAAAACGTGATCCAAGTTCACCACACCCGCTACACAAGTACCGTGTGATTGTGCTCAGAGAAGCTTGTTGTGGCTACTATATAAAACGTGATCCAAGTTCACCACACCCGCTACACAAGTACCGTGTGATTGTGCTCAGAGAAGCTTGTTGTGGCTACTATATAAAATGATCCAAGTTCACCACACCCGCTACACAAGTATTGTGTGATTGTGCTCAGAGAAGCTTGTTGTGGCTACTATATAAAATGTCTTCCAAGTTCACCACACCCGCTACACAAGTACCGTGTGATTGTGCTCAGAGAAGCTTGTTGTGGCTACTATATAAAACGTCATCCACGTTCACCACACCCGCTACACAAGTACCGTGTGAAGCTTGTTGTGGCTACTATATAAAACGTCATCCAAGTTCACCACACCTGCTACACAAGTACCGTGTGAAGCTTGCTGTGGCTACTATATAAAACGTCATCCAAGTTCACCACACCCGCTACACAAGTACCGTGTGAAGCTTGTTGTGGCTACTATATAAAATGTCTTCCAAGTTCACCACACCCGCTACACATATCACTTAGTACCTGCCTAGTGATATTGATGGAAAGTTACATTATAAAACTAAGTTCTCTGTTACGATTTCAGCTTTTGCATATTTCTGTATCATCAAACATTGGCTCCCTTCTGAAATGGTCTTATCTCCTTACACCCAAAGCTATCTTGATCCTGGTCTGCCCTCTAAGCATTGCTAAAAAATTTTACTAACAGTATACCAGTCTTTTATATCCCATCCGTTTTGCACCATTTCGGAACATGTGATTACCCTCAACCAATCAAACTGTGCCATCCATATTAGCACAACTAACTCCCTCATACCTGTATTTTTTTCTTCTCATAATCCTACGTATCCAAGGTGTTTCCTCTGGATGTTTATTTTTTTTACCCAGGAGGACCGCTGTTATTGATCACAATATCTTATATGAGGAGTTTCCACTGAATGTTTTGTCCGGATGGACCGCACTTGACCTACTCTGATGTAACCCAAGGCACTACAGGCTTGTCGCTTGCACACTAGACCTTCTGTGTTTTTCCATGCCCTGCTGTTTCAAGTCATAGTTATACAGCACTTCTCCACTGATTTGATACTGTACATCCTTCTTTCCTGCCCTCTTGGTGTTCCTGTGTTAATTACTGGGTGAAGAGCATACCTGTTCCAGAAGTGGTGCTATACCCTACAGGTGTGCTATCTTTTCATATTCTTGCATACCTGTGTTTTCAGTGAGGTCACTTTCCATTTGTTTGGATATTGATGTGCCTTCTGGTGATTCAAATTTTTTAGTTTTTTCAATTAGTTATTTTGTACACAACCATAATCATTAATAAAAAAAATAGCATAAAATTGATTAGCAGTTTGATGTACATTTGTCAAAAGAAGAAAAAGTACATTTCAAACCTTACATCGTATGTCTAAAACATGTTTGATTTAGAAGTGAGTTTAACATCTGTCTCATAGACTCAGTAGAAACTTCTTTACTGAGCTCATTCCTTTGAGTTGTGACCTAGCTTTATAAATTAGAAGACTTTATCGTAGTGTCCTCTCGGTTATGTTCAGTTTTTAAAGTAGAAATATTTTGTAATCTACTGATTGTAATATATCTCTGTGTATACATTATGAATTAATCTGTTTTCAGTTGCTTTCTTACATCTAGAATATGGTTACTTATATAATTGTAACTATAGTTAGTAGTCGTATGGGAACTTCATGCTGTATTTGTTTAGCTTTATCCAAATGTTATACCATTAACTGTATTCTTGGAGAAGTCGTAGCTAGAGCTAGATACGAGAGGATGTCATGATTCTTAAAGATAAGCCGCAGTTTTACTCCGTCTTTGAAAGAGAATAAATAATTATGAAGTATAAGTTTGGTGATTTTTAACATATTTTTTATTCAAATTTAATGTATTTATATTTTTTCTGTAATTCTACACTATGATATTATAATTGAATGCAAAATGAAATCAGTCTGCTTAAAATTATAGAATAGCATATTACACTTTTTTGTATTATTGAAAATGAAGTGAATTTATTTTATGGTGTTTATTCTTAGGTAATGACTCATTTGTCACCTTTGAGGAGATACTTAGCACAGCTAATACTGAAAATGTAGATATTATTCTCCTTGGTGGCGATCTGTTTCACGATAACAAACCCTCGAGGAAGACCCTTCATACCTGTATGCAACTACTACGCAAGTACTGTATGGGAGATAAACCCGTCAATATAGAGTTTCTCAGTGATCAGTCAGAAAACTTCAAATATAACAGCTTTCCTTTTGTAAATTATGAAGATCCTAACTTGAATATATCTACTCCAGTGTTTTCAATTCATGGTAATCATGATGATCCAGCAGGTCAAGGAAATCTCTGCTCCCTGGACCTACTTAGTGTCAGTGGTTTGATTAATTACTTTGGGAAGTGTACAGACTTGGACAACGTAAAGATATCTCCTCTTCTCATGCAGAAAGGTGAAACAAAACTGGCTCTGTATGGATTGGGTTCAATTCGTGATGAACGGCTACATCGCATGTTTAGAGAAGGCAAGGTTAGCATGCTTCGTCCACGGGAGGACAGCGAAACTTGGTTTAACCTTTTTGTTGTGCATCAGAACAGAAGTAGACATGGATTGACTAACTACTTACCAGAACAGTTTTTAGACGATTTTCTAGACTTGGTGATTTGGGGACATGAACACGAATGTAGAATTAAACCAGAATGGAATGGACAACAAAATTTTTATGTTTGTCAACCTGGCAGTTCGGTGGCCACTTCTCTTTGTCCTGGTGAGGCTGTTCCAAAGTGTATAGGAATGCTCAATATTTATAAAAAGAGCTTCAAACTGTCCAAGATCCCGTTACAAACAGTCAGACAGTTTTACATTGAAGATATAGTTCTATCAGAAACTAGTCTTAACCCTGAGGATCCTGATATCGCTGAACGTGTTCTAGAATATTGCTGTGAAAGGGTGGAGAATTTGATAGATAAGGCTGTTAGTGATCACACAGGTAACATTCAGTTACAGGTTTGATAGGTAAGGCTGTTAGTGATCACACAGGTAACATTCAGTTACAGGTTTGATAGGTAAGGCTGTTAGTGATCACACAGGTAACATTCAGTTACAGGTTTGATAGGTAAGGCTGTTAGTGATCACACAGGTAACATTCAGTTATAGGTTTGATAG